ACTCCCCTCATGGCACGCAGCCCCAGCAGGTAGTGGCAGCAGCAGCAGGCAGGGATGCACTTAGGGCACTTGTGCCCAGTGCAGGAGCTGGCACCTGGCAGGGCGCAGCTCTGGCCAGTGCTGCACACTGCAGCAAGGGGCGCAGCCTCCACCAGGCAGTCTGTATCACTAGCACTCCCCAGACTTGCACGGCATGATAGGGAAGCCCTGGGCACTGGAGCCGGCTGGATTTCCCGCCAGGGCTGCGTGGCACTGGAGGGAAGCCCCAGGTGCCTTTCCCGGGGGGCAGCTGGCTCCAGTGCCTAAGGCTTCCCTCCTGTGCCCAGCAAGTGCGAGGAGCACAAGCAATACAGACTGCCCAGCAGAGGCAGTGCCCCTCGTTGCAATGTGCAGTGCTGGCTGAAGCTGCATCCTGCCAGGCACAAGTACCCCGAGTGCCCCTGCTGCTGCTGCCATGAGGGGAGTCCCACACCCCCCACCCCCACACACCTCACGCTCCACACACACACAGCCACAACCCCTCACAAACTGCCACCCCTGAAGCCCCCCATACACACACCTCACCACACCTATCCACAATATACAAGACCAAAAATTTAATTCTTGAGTTATTATGCAATCACTTCTATAAACAGTATGCAAACACAAAAAATAACAAACATATTTTTGTAATAAAATTAAAATATGATATAGTAGGTGTTTGACTTCCAGTGTATGATTTGTTTTTGTTTTTTCTTCTGGTTCTAAGATAGCAACCCCTCCCCACCTCCCAAAATGAGGATTTCCAGGGGGCAAGGGGTTAAGGGTGGGACTTCTAGTCCCAAAATGGTAACCTGCAGCAGGGCTACCCATGCAGCCCAAAACTCATTAAGCAGCCCTCCTGGATTAGTTCTTTCTCTCTGATCATTTATCAACCATTTTAGGACTCAATCTGGTTATAAAATTAATTGGACTAAAATCTGAGCTACTTGGAGTAAAAAGGTGCACCAGAAAAGCTGTTCAGCAAACGGCAGTTTCAATATCAATGAGCACACATACCTTATTTGGGTATTAAAATATGCAAGAATATTAATGTTATTGTTTGCCAAACCTTTCGTAATATTTTGACCAAATGGAGCCATTTGGCAATACCCTTGTGAGGGCGTGTTGGTATTTTAAAAATAAATGTCTTACCTTGCCTAATTTATCTATTATGTAACCTACCCATTGTAATCCCCCAACCTCATTTTGGTAAAAATCAACCAAATGTTCAACATATTTCTGTGGGGAAAAGATAAAAGGGTTCGTCTTTCACCAAAAAGATGCAACTACCAGTTGAAACTGGTGGCTTCCAAACCTTCAACCGTATCACAATGCATTCCAAGTCAAGCTCTGTACTGAATGACCAATATAACTGATAACTCTCCTGAACAGACACTTATGTTTTGCCTTCCATTATCAATAAGAGACCTTCCGTTCACTGGGGTTGCCCCCTGATTTTGCAGGCAGAACACAGGCTCAGGCAGCCATTTCACAGGCTGAGTGTGGTGGGACGCACCCCCATGCCTATAATAAGCCAAAGGTGCCCCAGGGGCCCCACCCCTCACCACTGAATCGCTACAGGGGCTCCCTGTCATATGGCCTCAGGAATTGCCACTGATTGGCTGCAAGGGCTGTCCATCATGCAGCCACACCCCTTGCCACCAACTGGTGAAGGGGGACAGGGTCAAATGACAAGCAGCCAGCACAGCCAATCAGTGGCTAGAGGCAACAGCCATTTTGCAGGCCGCCCTTCAAGCGGGCAGCCCCTCCCCCCCCAGCAAGCTGCTGCAGAGCTTGGTAGGTTTTTGTTTTTTGTTTTTTTACTTCTGTTTGTTTTGGAAGGTTTTTTTCCCCCAGTGGATTTCACAAGCATTGCCTGGATTTAGCTAAATCCATGAAATCACAAATTCAGTAGGTCCCTAATTATCAACCACCCTAAATTCTACTTATCACTGTCTTTCTACTTCTCCAAGGTCTATATTTTTGTAGCTTGACAAGTTTGGAAAAACTGGGCAAACTTACTGAAGTTTCATCCTTTGTTATATTGGAAGGCCTTTATCTGGGGCATTCCTTTATGAAGTATGGGTCCCACAACAGATGTGGAGAAAGTGGATGGATAGATAAGGGTATTGTGCATGTCCAATAGTTTCTAGATGGGAATCATATTCAATCCTTTACCGAGTTATGTGATGATTCTGACCTTCCAAAGACAGTTGAATGGCAATATATGCAGTTGTATCAAGTATTAGAAAATCAGTTTGGACCCAAAGTTTTAGATATAGCAAATATTCCAAATACTCTGCATCTCTTCCCCATTTTCTGTCACCACTCTCTGACTGTATACAATGTTATATAATAGATGAGATACAAACTATTTAAAACTGGAATAGAGACACAGGTACTCAGAAGACAGAATCCTAGTAGAAATCAGCAATTCACACAATTCAAACATCAAGTAATCTTAAGACTCTGTCTCATACAACAAGAGTTTGTTGGGCCTTTTTTTTTTTTTTTTTAAATTTGCACTGATTTCCCTCAAATTAAAAAATTAAAGATATTGTCAGTAGATACATGTTAGGGATTTGATGTGCTGCAGGCAAATCTTGGTCACGCCTTATCATCAATTCTTTTTCAAAAGAAATTATAGCTAGAGTTAACATGGTTTTGAAGAAGGCACTGAGACCTCTGAAAAATGTGTGAGAGCCTGGCTATATCCCTAAGTAATTCAAACAGAATCCTTCCCAAATTGTATTCTTACAGTTGGCCTTATTAGTAACATGCAGGATTATACTGCTGCATTGGAAAAGCAGGACATCGCCAAAGGTCAAAGTCATGTATAATGAGATGGCATAACTGGCATTTGAGGAGTCACATTTAGCAGATTTAAACTGCTTCAAAAAGTTTAGTACAATTTGGAAGGAATTTTTGGAAAGTTTTAGTAGCTACAGCGTTGCTCATAGCACATATCTCTTCTTTTATCCCTCCCTCTTCCTTCCTCTTTTTTTTGCTTACATTTTGCAACATAGTTCAGGTCAACCTATAATTTAATGCATACTTCTTATTTTTGTACCAAGTTTAAAAATCTCAATAAAACTTTAAAAAACAATAATTATGTGATGATCATGGTATGAGATATGAGCTCTGCTTTTAAAATCAGCATTCTGGACAACACCCCATGATAAAGAATATCTGACATATAAGCAAGAGTTAATTACCTGATAATCACTTTCTTGGTATATTACACTATTACAATCAATAACAAACATGCTGAATCCTTCTCTACTCAGCTTCAGAAGCAATCCAATCTGTCAACCAAGAATCATGTCATAGAATTTCCCAGCTCTTCTTCTTCATGTATCCAAAGCTGTAAAATTAAATTGTACGAATATGCATATTAACCAAACAAATTTCCCTTTGTGAAATTCTAAGCTGAATTGTGTTTTATTTTTTTCAGTATGCTTATTCGTATAATTTAGCTTTCCAGCTTTGAAAGAACTAGTTAGCAAAAATGGAAAAGCCAGGATTTCTATATCCCAATCCTTGTTTGACAAATCTGATGAGGTCTGAGTTGGAGTAAGGAAGGACATCCTTTGATTGTAGCTTCAGAGACCTCTTCCTGCACACCCAGTTTAGTAAACTGACTGATTCATGGGCAATGCAGAACACAGCCTTGCCACTGTAGTCCAAAAATAAAATTATCTTGCACATCTTTAAGGCTTAGTGGAAGAGGACTGGAGGTAACTAACATTTTGACTATGCATTAATTTTTAGCATTTAAGCTGCTTTTGCCACACCAGTTGATTGACTAAATTTACAAAATTCTATATTCTTTTGGCCCCATCTTCTCCTGTTTCCTACATGGACAACACTAGTAACAACAACATTTTTGCAACAGATTTCTTGCAGGCATCTCAGACTGCTTACAAACATTCAAGCCTCTTCGAATACCCACCACACAGGTGCAGCTGCATACATTTATACATCCAGTAGTTTCGTTTTCACTTACTTTATTGCAAAAACTAATTGATGAGGATCAGTGTTCAGCAGCAATAAAGCCCTTATTTTTAGGGCAACAAAACCATTTTCCCTACTTTATAGCAGGATACAGAAATGACATTCCTGTTTAAAAGCCTAGTACATTAATAGCAATGCCAATCTAATATTGGAAATAGTCACAATAACGGATCAACATTTCTTTAAAAAAAAAAGTATGGCTTATTACTGTGACCTCTTCCCCACCCCAGACAGCTGCTCCCAGCTTATAAAGTTATACCTTTTTTAATTCATGTTACTGCTGGCCAAAGCACTGCTCAAAACCTTTTCTTTATTTAAGAAATAATTAGTATATTTTGTGAAAACTAAACACTAATTTTAAAAAGAAAAATTGAGTTTCCACAGCATGGCTAGGCTGATAAAACAAAACAAACCAAAAAAAAAGAAGAAAAAAAAAAAAAAAAAAAAAAAAAATCAATAAAAGCATTAACATCTATTGATCAGCAGTTGCATTTCTGAAGACTTGAGTAAGAGTTTAATGGTCTCAATGTAATCTCTACAAAACATTCATTCACATAACAAAACGTATCAAGCAAAAATGTTACCATTTTGTATGACTGAATCCCTGGTTCAGAAACACTTAGAATCACAGAAAAGTAGGGTTGGAAGGGACTACAGAATGTCAACTAGTTCAACCCTCCGCTCAAGGCAGGATCATCCCTATTTAAACTCTCCTATTAAAAAGTGTTTTTCTAACCTATTCTTAAGTCTACACAAATAGCCAGAAGAGGTATTATAACTTAAAATCAAAGTGAGTATACAAAGTGCTAAAATTTCATCACTCATATTAATGCTAGCCCTAAACAAGTCCCTTCCTTACAAGCGTGCTGGTATGATGGTGCATAGTATGTAACAGGTGCCAAGTAAGGCTTGACCCAATTTAATTCGGCAAGTAAAATGCTAAGATTTCACAAAAAAAAAATTACCAGTTTTAGGCGTTCTTTTCTCCTTTTGCTAAAAGAACTTGATGATCCAGGTTCTGATTCCTGACCGCCTGATTTACCATCATCATCCTCTTCGTCATCCTCATCCTCATCTTCAAAGCACCATTCAGGTCGTTCAGGTGGTGGTGGTGCGTCCTCTACATCTCCATAACGGCGGAACAGTTCTTTCAGATAGTCACCTTTATAGATACCTGGTGGTCTGGCTTGTGCAAAAGTAGCCACTGCAGCTTCAATACTGTCAAAGTAAACAAAAAAAATGTGAGAGTTACTTATTTGCACCTGTTAAATTATGTCAGATTATGCATTATCTAGGGGTGCATCAGCTCGTCTTAAAAGTCAAAAAGAAACTATTTCATTGTCAAGAATTGATACCATCTTGATCTGACTCTCAAAATTACTTGCTTTATCCTACATGAAACATGGTGTTAAAAACAAGCTGGTAATTACTACTACTTGTACAACAGTCTCCATTATTAGTTATTAATTAAGTTCTACTCAGACTCCAAGAGACAGCTATAGCTCAGACTACTTTCTGGCCCCTAACATTTGCTAGTACTTCTCTTTTGGACTCATGGAAAAAAGGTTCACAATAGCAAGAGAAAAGGAAAGGGAAAAAATGAAGATAAATACACAGCTACGTGGGGAGGAGAAAAACTAAAAAATAAACAATCAATGAGCCAAAGGAATTGTCAACACTTTTCAACAGCTAAAGAAGTTTTCCATTTTGCTCACTTTAAGACACTATTCTACTATGCTATAAAGAAGTGTTTAAGTCCATCTTGAACAAACTGATTTCTCTCATAGTTCCTCTTTAGAGCCCACTCCTGTCCAAACACTTAAACAGAAACCTACATTTTTTTCCGAATGGGAGGCTAGATCTATAATATAAACAAGTATTATTGGAGGGCACACTCATATCTGCAATGCAGACCATACAACACCCTTTTAGATTTCTTCACATGCTTCTCTGCCATCTTGAAACTGAAACAAAACGCAGACATTATTAGACTGTGGAAATGTCAAAATACTCTTCAACTGAATCAAAGGAAAGGGGGCAGAGGAGACAGAGAAAGCAAAAAAGGAAAGACATTTAAATCCCAACAGAAACAGTTTTAAAGGGGGTTTTGTGCTGTGCAGAATAGGAACGTGTGCAGTCTAAGAACTGTTGTATAAGCACAGGGAGTCAGGTTTCCCAGGGTGGGCAGAAGAAAAAGGAAAAAAGACACCAGTTTGGAATGGCAAAAGACTGGACAGTGGTCAGATGTTAAGAATGCTGGGCAGAGTAAAATAATCCAAACATTTAAATTATAGAGAAACAGGATGTGAAGAAGGATCTGAAGACTGATTTTGAATCTTCAGAAGACCAACTGCATCTTGGTAACTCCCCTAAACTGCTTCCCAGTACCTGGAAGTCAATCTCCCAGGGAAACCAAAAAGAACTTGGAAGCAAGCAATTAAGCCCTGGGTCAACATTCAAAACTTAAGTCTCCAATCAGTGTTTTTCCTTGATTATTCTCTTTCATCACAGTATTAAAGAATAGATTATAATAAAACCTAAGAATGCAGCTTAGGTTTCAGGGGAAAAAACCCTAGCATGCTAGGAAAGACACTCAGATTTCAGAAATTGTAATGCCTTGAGGGAAACAAGTTGCAAGAAGAGCATCAAATGAGTTTTCCCAGTGACTAGCTGGAGAGCTCTGTCAAGATGACCTTTCTTTAAGCTAGCTGTAAAACAGATCTCAGCATTCACAGTGCATCTGTGGCCATCCTACATCATCTGTCTAAGGAATAAATATAGATGGATTATTCTACATGGAAAACTTATCTGCGAATAAGAATCCCTCAACTTAAAAAGATACAGCAAACATGTTTTTTCTTAATACATGGTACACATATCTTGTGGTCACTAGGGGTGCACCGAAAAGATTTTCCTTAGCCAATACCAATAGCCAATGATTAACCAATCACATCACCTGATGCCAACTGGTTAACCAATAATTAGTAAGAGTGCAAGGCATTTTAAACTACTGACATAAACCTTTTGTTTGTCTGTTTGGCATTTATCAGAAACACACACACACACACACACACACACACACCCCTCCTGTCT